AGCTAAGTAATGAATCTTTCACGCAACATGCTCTAATGACTAGTTAATTAAAGTTTTCCTCTTCATATTTGAATATATGTGGTTCTTATTACAGATTGAAAGACAAAGGTTTCTACCATTAATGTGAGAATATGAATGAATAGGATGAAAGCAACATATGACACCACGCACGCCAACGAGTTTCATTCATCTAGCCAATTGCCTAACCTAACTTTTATTTTATTCACCTTCTAATACTCACTTCTCACAACTTTTTCTGATTTTTAATTTGCAAAACCTTTAATGACTGATTTTTAATTCGATAGTTAAATATTTATCAAATTTCGATTGCTATTTATCTTTATCTATTCTGGTTTTTTTATTCTTGAACTTATCATTACAAAATGGTATTTCTGGAAGACAATTGCTTCTTCCACTCCCTCAAATTTCTTTTCGCACCCATCAATTCTATCAAATGTCAAAATTAACTTTATTGCTTCTTGCACTCCCTCAGACACTTTACAAAATATGTTTTCGGAATGAACTTTTTGAAACATATTTTCAGAACTCATTTCCAAAAAGCATTTTTCCGGAAGACATTCATCAATGCCCACCTCCCACACTTCAACATACTTGCTCCGGTTGCCTGAGTTCTCATGAAATGCTCTTGATCTTGACTTTGCAGTCCCTCATACCGCTCTGCTTATTCTAGATTCGTCACAGATTGCAGCAATCAAGCGAATCTGAGAAGAGAAGAGGAAAAAGATTTATATGGCATATGGGTGGCCTCACATCACCCCTCTCGAGCAAGGACTGTGTCCATCTGCACATAAGGAAAATATTTCAAATAAAAAGAATTCCAAAACATAATACATAATGGGGTGCAGATAAAAATTAATGGGGTGCAAGAAGTAATTGTCTATTTGAAATTGATAATTGTTTTTCGATTCCACCACCACAACATGCTTCCTCTATCTCTCCAAAAACCCTTAGATTAAAACATTTTACTTTTATCATATAGGATATTTTAATTTATTTAAAACCCTACTTCTCCTTATTTATTCACTACACAGCTGCACCCCCAATCTCACGAATTTCTCTTCTCCATCTCCGTTTCACGTTTCACTTTCTTTCTATTGTTCTTTACACAACTGCACTCCCATTTCCGTTCCTTATTTTTCTTTTTCCTTTATTTGTTTCTTCCTTTTTTTTCCTTTTGGTTTCATTACTCAGTATTCACTGTATCATCAGCAGATCAAAATGGCACCATTACAGTCAGTAGAGATACTCCTGCAAACTAGCCACAATCCACAAATGCTGATTTTTGTGAGTGAAATTCATCAATCACTCCAAAAGCATCTTATTTTAAAAAACTATATTATTCATCACGGAAATGCCTTGCAGGTCCACGTACACACTTTAAAAACACTGTCATGCAAAATTGAGTTTGTCAAATATCAGACACAAAACTTTGTAGCATAAGAGAAACAAATATGAATTCATGAACTTTGAAGGTCGGAAAGGATTAAAAGAACCATAGCCGAAATGATAATACAAGTTAGTGTGGCACAATTGGAGTTGCTGTCAACTAGAAAATGGGGTAAATAATTTTTGGAGTACAAGAAATAAGTACAAATCTCAATCTTGCAGGTGTTTTCTTCCAAGGTTGCGAAAAAAAATTGAAACAGACAAGAAATTGGCTTCACGAGGTTCCATAATGTTGGAGCTTAATTTATGTCATGGCCAAACTACGTAGGTAGACTAATTAGCGGGAAGAATAAAATTAATAAGCAGAAGCACATGGGTGAGGGGTTGTGATAAGAGGCCGTGATCCCGTGACTAGTGTCTGGTGCACTCTTTCTATAATAAATTTACCTCCGCTGACATCATGCTGACATCCGTTTAAAGATTAATATTTAAACTTTACTACAGGACAAAACAGGAACGGAAAAGTGCTGGGAGGAATACGTGGTGGCGTAGGAAACAACACTCTTGTTTTTCTTGTCAACCTAATAGACAACAAATTAAAGAGTACGGTCCACCAAAACATTTTAATAAGCATTTTTATTATAGATCATATTTTAATATTATAACTCAGCCTCATATGTTGATAATTATTTATTATTCTATTGTTATTTATTATATTATTGTTTTACTCTCTACTTAAGTATTATAATAAAAAAGAGCATACACAAATTATGTATGTTAATTTTATAAATATAATTAGTATTTTCAAGATATTCACTTCGTAATCATTTTTACTTTCACTCTTACGTACAAGTCTCAATTTTCTTACTGACTTTTAATGCTGGAATTTTTTTTGTAAGTAGATCAACAAATAAAGGATCTCGTAGGTCCACTTTCAAAATCCTGATAAAAACATCTGAAATTGAGAAATGTGACAGCATTTACTTCATGCAGCCCAGCAATTATTTTGTAGCAAAGTGGTTTCCAGAATACATATTTTGAAAATTATGTTTCAAAATAAAAATTTAGAACGAGATTTTTCAGAAAATAATTTCTGAAAATGGAATTTTCAAAATGTGTTTTTTAGAGTAACACATGAAATATATTTCGGAATTGACTTTTTGGAATGCGATTTTCGTAAAAAAATTCAGAAAACATATAATGCCTTTCGAAATGAGTTTTCCAGAATACTCTTACAATGAATGTATTTAAAAAGAACTCTTCGGAACATGTGAAATACATTTTGGAAGACCTTTTTGAAACGAGCTTTTTTCAAATTTTCTCTCTTTTTCCTTTGCAATGTTTCCTATCTTTTCCTCTACGGCAACAGTGATGATAAAATCGGTGTTCGTGGTGACAATATGGTGAAAGGTGTTTGAGTCTTTTTCTTGTTATTGTGGGGTTCAATTAGTAATTGCGGGGTCATCACACACACCAAGAAGAGTGACCCACCACAAAATTCCATCCACTAAAATTTGGAGCCATATTCCTAATTGTCCGAGCAATCCGGAATTCATTAGAAAAACCATCATATCATAGTGAAGAATGAAAAGAAGAACGAAGACCATGAACATGAAGGAGGAAGAAGTGCAGGAGTAACTTTTACTTTTTTATTATAATTTTAATTTTAGTAAGGATTGTTTGAGATTTATGGATTTTATGGAGGAGCAAGAACAAAAAACATTGGTACATAAAAAAAAGCTTAATATCTCTTTTGGTCCCTCTTTAGGAGGGTAATATTCAAGTCCGTCCTATGTTTTTTAAAAAGTTCAATGTGGTCCCAACTTGTGAAAAAGTGTGCAATTAAATCCTTTTTTGTCACAGCGTTAATTTTTTAACGGTATAGCTGACAGTGTGGACAAAACATAATTACGTGTCTAGCGAGTGATTGAGTAATTGGGAAAAATCAAGCGAGTGGTTGTTTTTCGTCCCGGAAGGACCAGGGAATGAATAGAGATGATAGGTTTTCGACTGAAGAGAACTAAGCTAAGTGGCCAAGCCAAACGCAGAATCGGCGACAGAAATTGCAGCGACAGCGAGGCTAATAACTCCATGTTGCTCCACGGGAAGTACGAGCTAGGGCGGCTACTGGGTCATGGAACGTTCGCCAAAGTGTATCACGCGCGGAACCTCAAGTGCGGAAAGAGCGTGGCCATGAAGGTAGTGGGGAAGGAGAATTTGATTAAGGTGGGGATGATGGAGCATATGAAAAGGGAGATCTCGGCCATGAACATGGTCAAGCACCCCAGCACGTTCAGCTCCACGAGGTCATGACCAGCAAGTCCAAGATCTACATCGCCATGGAGCTCGTGCGCGGCGGCGAGCTCTTTAACAAGATCGTCCGCGGCCGTCTCAGGGAGGACACGACACGCCTCTACTTCCAGCAGCTCGTCTCCGCCATCGACTTCTGCCACAGCCGTGGCGTCTACCACCGCGACCTCAAGCCGGAGAACCTCCTCCTCGACGAGGAGGGCAACCTCAAAGTCACCGACTTCGGCCTCAACACCTTCTCCGAGCACCTCCGCCAGGACGGCCTGCTTCACACCACTTGCGGCACCCCAACCTACGTGGCGCTGGAGGTCATCGGGAAAAAGGGATACGATTTGTGAACCACGATGAATGCTTTCCATTTAATTTCGCTTTCGGAGGGGTTCCATTTATCACCCTTGTTCGAGGAGAAGAAGAAGGAGGAGAAGGTGATTCGGTTTGCGACCACATGCACCGCGAGTAGCATGATCTCACGGCTATAGGAGGTGGCGAAGGCGGTGAAGTTTGACGTTAAGAAAAGCGAGAGCAAAGTGAGGTTGCAGGGTCAACAGCGGGGTCGGAAAGGGAAGCTTGTAGTTGCTGCGGATTTATACACCGTGACACCATCGCTTTTGGTGGTGGAGGTGAAGAAGGACAACGGTAATACCTTGGAGTATAACCAGTTCTGCATCAACCAACTTCGTCCTGTGCTTAAAGACATTGTTTGGAGGACTTCCCCTTCTGAGAATCCTACACCTGTTTGAACCGACACGTCACTTCCACGCAATGACAAACTAGACACGTAATTATGTTTTGTCCACGCTGTCAGTTGTACCGTTAAAAAACTAACGTCGTGACCAAAAAGGATTTAATTGCACACTTTTTTCTCAAGTTGGGACCACATTGAACTTTTTAAAAAACGTAGGATGAACTTGAACATTGTCCCCCTAAAGAGGGACCAAAAGAGATATTAAGCCTAAAAAAAACTATCTTGAATAAACAAATTCCATGGTGATCCCACATTTTTCAACCTCTAAACAACATTCCAGATTTTAAACCCTTTTAGAAATTTCATTTTCTAATAATAAATACATGGAGTTTTGTAAAATGAATATTTTAAAATAGTTAAAAACTAATCTCGAATTATGTATTTTGGAATTTTTTTTATTTTTTATTTTTTGGGATATGCAATTTTGGAAGTTTTTTATTACATTAAAGGTAGTATTTTCTGAAAATATAAGAATTTTAAATGATTATTTGTATTACTTCGCTATAATAAACCATTCCAAGGTGTAAAAAGAAATTACCTCGAAATCACGTATGAATTGACTTCACATATTGAAAAATGTAACTTCAAAGAAAATTAAACTAAGTTTGAAACTTTCTATGACATTATAATGATAATTGACACAATGTTTTGATTGTAATCTATTTTGGTTTGAGTGTGTATGTATAATACAACAACCCATTTCCTTAGTTTCTATGAGGGGGTCGATAACTCCACGTTTGTAAAGGAATGGTAATCTAAGAATGTTTCTTTTGTTTCTTATCATGCCATTGTTTGATATCAGAATCTATCCTTGCCTTTACCCTGGTGTTGAATCCTGGATATGGTTCGTATCCAAAACTAGATTGGAGGATCTGCGAAAGACAATAACATCAAATCCACCTTGTTTCACTTGTCAAAAAGACTCAAATACAAACATTATCAGCAAACAATTACCTCAAGCACCACGAAGTAAGGAGCCATCAGAAAAGCTTGGCTAAGGTTGTCCAAGAGAGCTGGTGCACGTTTCTAAAGGAGATAAACAATGGTCAAAACATAATTGGAATGTAAAACCTCTGCATCATGGATATAAGTAATGGAATAAATCCCTTACCTCAAACACACCGTGACCAATAAACTGTCCAGTCCAACAAAACAACTGAGCAGCCAAAACAACCTGTGGATTGTCATCATAAACAAGTTACAGATTTGAAAACGTACGACTAGGGCATTGTTTTCTTGTCTCTTACGAAATAGAATATGCACTCACACGATGATCAAATAAACGATGTTTTAAACATATCAAAATAAGGACATGTATTTGACAGTTTTGAGGGCCATTGAACTGAATCTAGAGCATGGTTAGATTCAATTTCACAAACTCAAGTTTGAAAGAACTTCATTTTACAAACTGAGATGGCAAAAACAACTCTTCTTTTGCTTTCATTTCAACGCGAGTGTCAAGGTAAGATTAAGACAATACTCAATTTCCAAGCGGACCCAGTTGAAAACCAGACAAGCAATTCATTAGGGTCTCCCAACCAAAAACCAAAGATACCATCATGGTTGGTAGAAAACTAGCAATTCAAATATTATTCTATCTCTTCTATTATATAAAGACAACTTCTTTTCATAGCATTAGGATGAGCTGATGAGAAAATGAAAAAGAAATATTGAACTGAGCAAAAAAGTCAACCAAAACCGAGCTTTTTTCACTCTTATACAGGAATGATGTTTGCTCCAGAACATAATTTCCTCACTGGCAAACTTCCAAGTTGTAAGAGTTGGGAAAATGCAAGAAAATGCATATCAGAAACATAAAATTTAAGCATATCTATCAACAAAAACTACCATAAGAAGAACCGGCATTTGTCAATAAAAAAAAACTCCAGGCGTGTATCTGTTTATCAGTCTAATTCTTCCTTCTCACAGTCAAACCACATCCGACATGCATTCATGATCAGCAAAGTACAGCGTGAATTCAGACACAACCTGAGACTCCAAACACCGAAACAAACGAAAAATAATTTGCCAACGGCCCACATGATTTTTTTTTTTAAATTTTCCACAATCATCTTCTTTTCAAAACTCGGTCAAACATTAAAGGGTTAAACATTAAAAGCTGACATATCTACCAGCAGAAAATCAAACAACAGTCATCCATGTGGTAAAATACCAGTCCTTTTCACTTCATCCTTCTCTGGACGAATATAAATTGGAATTATGGAGGCTCCTTGGGGGAGGAAACAGCATTTAATTCAACAACCAAATTTCGTACAGAGAAGAGAATAAACTTAAACAAACCAGTTGAAAAGAGTGACAGAAATACATAACACATAAAGTGAGCCGCAAATCAAAAAGACTTTATTTTTAAGGGTATCGGTGATTTAGTATTTAGTACCTTCCAGGCGAGCGAATAGCCGAGGTTATTGGCGACAAAACTGGAAACGACCCAGCAGAAGAAAGTGAGAAAAGCAGTGAAAGAACCAGCCTTTGTATCCAAGGCCATGTAGAAGAGAGCGTAGAAGACGGTGGCGAAGAAGCCCCAATTGAGAACAAGCACCGGGGGAAGGAACCCTAGGGAGAGAAGGGAAGGGGTGAAGTAGAGGATGATTTGGGCGGTGAAAAGGATGGGCCAAACAAAGAGGATGTGGATGCCCACGTTGATGGGGTTGCTGTGGTAAGCGCCATAGAAGGCGAAGTGCTTCTCTAGATCCAACAAACCCATTTTTGATTCTGATTTTTTGATGAATGGTTCGTCAGAATTGGAGGATGAAAACTTTGTTATAATACGTTTTTTGGGTTGAATGGGTTGAGATAAAAAGGTTGTTGTTGAAGTGTGAAACCATGTGTTGGGGTAGGCTGTATTTGAAGGTTGGTTCAGAATTCTGGATGAGAACGCTGTTTTTCTTGTTTCCACGGCACGGGGCATGAACATGCCCCTGCTGACCTGGAGCCACACGCAATTGTTTGTGCCCAAGAACATCCTTTTCCACCACAACCTCAATTGAATCCTTCACACAAATACTTTTCAAGGAAGGAAAAAACGACAAACTAACAAATCTATCAGGCCCCATCATTGTTTAATTCAGAGCATATTTTCCTTAAAATTTATTTTTGTCAAATTTCTCATTTTCTAATCTTAAATGTTTTTTTGCAATTTTAATTATCTTAATTTTAGTCTTAAATTTCTCCTTACCTTCATCTGTTTTTTTTTTCTCTATAATATGTATTTAGTTACACTTTAACAATTATTAAGAAATCATTTTTCGATGTCAATTTTCCTGCATTTGTCAAAGTGAAAGAGCAATTGACGTTTTAACGAGCATTAATTAATTCACACCTATCTTTGATTTCGACCTTTATTATTTTCTTCTTTTTATTTAAGTATCTCTTCCCACTTTTACTTTTCTCTCTCCATGGGTTTGTTATGACAGTGTTTCCTTTTTAAGATGAATTTAGGTGGTGATTTTCAAGAAAAAAAATATTACACATTAATTATTTATTTATAAACTATTACACACTAACTTTATAAAATGTAAATCGTATTCGCATACGAAATATGCTAAAAACATTACTAAGAAATAATGATGATAGAAAAATAGTTTATTTGTTTTATTAATGTTATTCAATTTATTGTTCTCCATTATACATATTTATATATTTGTGTAGTAAATATTATTCAGTTGCTTTTCTTTCCTATTATTCTGATTTTTCCTATTTTTTCAAATAATGTATAATACAATTAAAATTCACCTAAATTTAATTAAGATGGGTTAAATAAAAGAACTCAAATTGAAACGTCATGAATGTTAGTACTAATTTAAAGAAGTGATTATACTTTTATTAAAATAAGTTCGTATGGTTTTTTTTTTCTACATAATAATTCATGAGAACTTTTTAACCTTTTTATTGTAATACCTTTAAGTAAATAAGAAAAAAAAGGAAAAATGAAACAAAATCTTAATTACTCTACCTGGTAATAAATGGGTAAAATTTGCCATTAAAAAAAACTTTTCTAATTAATAAAATGTGGCTAAGGCTACTACAGAAAAATTAGATTTTTAATAATTGATTACTTTCTTTAACTTTTAGTTTAATGATGCATATTCTTTTGTTATTTTAAAGATAATATTACATTGTACTCATCAATTTCCTTACATAATTGGAAGGAAAATGACACTTGAACAACTATTTTTGACAACATTTAGACACGCGCACACGTGTCAAAATCTGAATGGTCCATTTTCATTTAATTTTTCCAACTGGACCACTCAGATTTTGACACGTGTGCGCGTGTCTAAATGTTGTCAAAAATGGTTGTTCAAGTATCATTTTCCAAAATAATTAGAGTCTAAATTATGAATAATTAAAATTAATAGACTAAGTGTTAAAAAACAGATACTAAAATTAACAATTTACAAAAATATGCAATCAAAATATAAATTAAGCCAAAATAAGTTTATAAAAATAGAATTTGAAAATTAGAAAAGTTGGAGATAGAACTGTGAAAATGAAATGGGAGTAGTAAAACCATAACGTTTTGCCCAGGCACTGTACCATAGAAAAGGCAAGTGTACACAAACATAAAACTTACTAAATAGTTTAAATAAAAGAAAGGAAAAACATTAACTATTTTCCGGAATTAACATCGCCACTTAATTATATTTCTTACACAAAAATATCAAAAGATATATATACATATAATTTCAATTTTTGAAAATTATAAGTTGTTAACATTAATACACACTAAATGTATATTAATTATTCATGTTAAATAAAAATTTATTAAGAATCCTTGTATATGCTAATAATTCAATAAATTTCTTTAAGTTCCCATATAATATTATTTGTTGTGATTCATGGAAGATTACATATATATGAGTTTTCCTTTATATATAACATATTTTACTTTTATTTCATCTTTATCTTTAAAAATATAGAGAGTGGAGTATAATATGTACATATTTAACCATACTTGTTTCATCTATAATATAAAAAATTATATTTATTTTTGCATCGATATAATATATATATATATATATATATATATATACACTAGTATTATATGAAATATTAAATAGATATTCAAAAAAAAAAAAACATGTAGGATGGTAATCAAACACATGGTCCAAATTACTTCAAACAAATTGTTACACCTAACGCATTAAGTACTAATGTAGACATTCACATACAAAAGATTAAGCTTTAAATAAAATATTAATGTGATACTTAATAAATATCATACGTGTATTGAGATGACTTCTTAATAAAAAAAAGGTTTAATCCTTTTCGACATCCCTATTTGTGTAGCAATGTCTCAGATGGGTCCTCGTATTTATTTTTATCTCAATTAGGTCCCTATTTTTGTAAAATTGAGTCAATTGGAACCTTGCCGTTAATTTCAATAGACGGCGTTAAATTTATTGAGTCGTGGCACGCTGACGAAGCAGATTTTAATGACGTGGCGAGCAATTTCAACTGCACTCACTGAAACCTCTACCACATCATCACCATCTTCCACCCACTGAAACCCTAGTCTCCTTACCATCTTCGATTCCATGGTCTCCTCACCTTCGATTCCATGGTCTATCTCCACCATCAACTGACTTTATTCAATTTTCCTTAATCTCTCCCTCAGATCCGCCAGTTCCTCAACATCGTCCAAGAGTAGATGTTGAGCGGTACGAGCGACAGAGCAGATGACGAGCGTACCTGTCGAGCGACAGGCTCGATGACGAGCGTACCTGTCGAGCGACAGGCTCGATGACGAGCGTACCTGTCGAGCGACAGGCTCGATGACGAGCGTACCTGTCGAGCGGTACGAGCGACAGGCTCGATGACGCCCTCAAGAAGGACCTCCTCCTCCTCCACCACCACTTCCCCGATCACGCCCTCGTCGCTCTCCTCACCTTCGATGTTGTTTGCGATGGTGCTGTGGCGAAGATGATGGTGGTTCGAGATTGCCGAACTCGCGAAGAGAGACGCGATGAGGATCGCGATTCTGGGTGGCTGTTCTCGCGGTTTTGATGGAGGCTGGTGGCACTGTTTGAAGGTTGACGGTGGTCCGGGGTTGTGCAGCGGTCAGGCAAGGGCTCGCGTGAAGGAGATGGTGGCGAAATGAATTGGGATTCTGGCTTGGAGTTTGATTTCGGCGTTTAGGGTTCGAAGGATTTTTCAGATCGGATTGGGTTTTTGGATATGCAGGTCTGAGATGATGATTGGGAAAATGAATGGTGGCACGGTGATGATGACTTGTGGCTGGCGGTGCGGTGGCACGATGTTGTTTGCAGTGGTGCTGTGGCGAAGATGATGGTGGTTCGAGATTGCCGAACTCGCGAAGAGAGACGCGATGAGGATCGCGATTCTGGGTGGCTGTTCTCGCGGTTTTGATGGAGGCTGGTGGCACTGTTTGAAGGTTGACGGTGGTCCGGGGTTGTGCAGCGGTCAGGCAAGGGCTCGCGTGAAGGAGATGGTGGCGAAATGAATTGGGATTCTGGCTTGGAGTTTGATTTTGGCGTTTAGGGTTCGAAGGATTTTTCAGATCGGATTGGGTTTTTGGATATGCAGGTCTGAGATGATGATTGGGAAAATGAATGGTGGCACGGTGATGATGACTTGTGGCTGGCGGTGCGGTGGCACGATGTTGTTTGCAGTGGTGCTGTGGCGAAGGTGATGGTGGTTCGAGATTGTCGAACTCGCGAAGAGAGACGCGATGAGGATCGCGATTCTGGGTGGCTGTTCTCGCGATTTTGATGGAGGCTGGTGGCACTGTTTGAAGGTTGACGGTGGTCCGGGGTTGTGCGACGGTGATGTTGCCGACGATGCTAGGGAGAAGATGGTAAGGAGACTAGGGTTTCAGTGGGTGGAAGATGGTGATGATGTGGTAGAGGTTTCAGTGGGTGCAGATGAATTTGATCCACGTCATTAAAATTTGCTTCGTCAGCGTGCCACGACTCAATAAATTTAACGCCGTCTATTGAAATTAACGGCAAGGTTCTAATTGATTCAATTTTACAAAAATAGGGACCTAATTGAGATAAAAATAAATACGAGGACCTATCTGAGACATTGCTACACAAATAGTGATGTCGAAAAGGATTAAACCTAAAAAAATAAAAAAACACTCTAATCTAATGTTACGTCTTTTAATTATGCGTTGAATTTTTGGTTGTTATTTGGTTTACATCATATCATAGCTCTTACGGTATGTTGACATTTAGTATTAATATTTAGAATTAGATTGAATATTCAGCACTCGATCGTAAGTCATGCGTATTAATATTAAGGATTAGATTGAAGAAGAACTTTAATTAAGTTTCAAATACTTTATAAATTTAAATACTTTTAATTAAACTTAAAATTGAGATAACGTCAAAAGTTGGCACTGAAATGTTAAATTTAATTCAAAGTAGTTGAGACTTTTTTTAAAAAAACATAGCAAGTAAAAGCAGACGTGAGATTTAAGTTAACTGAGTCTGGAAGTTAAATGTTTGCAAGTTGAACATAGATTACTCGAAGGTTAATGTTTGTAAGTTGAACATAAATTAGTCGAAGGTTAATGTTTGGAGACGAGGACAATAGGGTCATTTTGGTGAATTGTTGAGTAATATTCCAACCAGACCAAACTGTTGGAATTATGTGCTTGAAACTGAAGGGTGGTTCTTCTTTGTGCTCTTATCCACTCTATCCCAATATGAAAGGACCATAGTAGCAACCACTTTTTCTGCACTTTTTGCTCAAAGCAATGGCTGAAGCTGTTATGGGTTTCACCCTTTTCAAATCACATAATCTTGGCTCATCTCTACAAACAAGGAGGTTTCAAATGAACCATTCTTCCAGACTGGTAAAATGCTCCTTCAATATCCATTTTCATCACATGTTACACGTTCAAAGATGAACCAAAAAATTAAGGTGTTTCTCTCTTTTGCAGCTTTCAAACTCGACCCTTTTTTCCAACAGACCGTGGCAGGTACGTATAGTTCATGTTCAAAGTTCAAAACAAGTTTACTATATTT